CATTTGGAAGTGCTTCATGATCAAAGCGCCAAAGCTGATCATAGGCATCAGAGCAAAGTTGCATACAATATTTTCTAGGAGAGAATGATGACTCTTATCATTATTAATTGGTCAATTTTAACCATTTTTAGTGTATATAATAATTAAATTTATATTTTAATATTCTACTTCTACAATATGTTTTTTTAAACTAATTAGTTTTATTAATATACCAAAATTATGTTTGTATATCTTATTATCAATGTATTGAGTATCTGGTTTTAAAATTTTTTTTTTTTTAATTTTCAACTAATTAAAACAAAATATTCTAATAGCAAAATCTAAGTTTCAAATTTTATTTGATTATTTTGCTAATTATATTTAGAAGATATATGTTTGTATCCACCAAATTTTCTTGACCAAATGGAGGGGCCAAATCCTGAAAACAAGAGTTGTGGAGGGACCAAATCTACTACAAAAATAAAAAATAATTTGAGGGACCAAATCTGCTATAATAATGTAAATTAGTTTGAGAGACTAAATATGTTATAAAACGAAAATTAATTAGAGGAATCAAATTCGTTGTTGAAAATTGAAGTTGAGGAGAGGAGGATAAATTGACAAAATTGCCCCTCACTAACAGAATCTAAACTGAAGGAGTTAGATAAGGGACCATATCCGTTATAAAAATGAAATTACAAGGACATCCCTCGTTAATAATTCTTTTGAGAGACTTTACTCATTAATTTATGTAAATTCTAGGGACCAATTTTTTATTTAACTCAAAAATATATTTATATATATACACAGGAAGTACTACTCATACAAATTTTTAAAAAATAAGTTTAAACCTTTGATTTTTAGAAAGTTAAAGCAGCTTCTACACCTATTCTAAATATAGATTTTAGAGAATTACGATATATTTTTATTCAAACAGTTATGCTGTAACAAAAAGAGAATTGAGAGAGAATGTAGAAATCTTCAAATTTGAAGAAAATCCCTAGAACTTCATTTTTATGAGAGATAAATAGTATTTAACTCTCTCACCAAAAAGAGACAGTTAAACTAAGAGGTTGTTTGGTTCAAGTAGAAAAATAAAAACATAAGTATTGAATACTTTAATAATATAATTAATGTTGGAATCTCTAAATTAGAGTTGAATACAATTTTTTTAGAGATTTTGAACTTTAATACTTTATTTTAGAAAAATTATAAAGTAATTGATACTAAACGAATATAAATCAAAATACTTTGATTTATTAAGTCAACAAGATAAAATGATACAATAACTATTGTTCATGAACATTCATATAGAGTCTTGTACAAATACTTTATAATTATTTATAGAACCAAGATTCTTGTTCACATCTTACATTTCCAATTCCCAACCATTTATGTTAGGCACAAAAGAATCCAACCTACTTGATTGGTTTTGGGCTCAATTTTGTAGACCAATAATACAACATGACACAGATGAGCTTATTCCAAATGACACACAAAAACAAAACAAAATGAAACCATGGATTATGACCTTATTTCCACACTCACGGACCCAAGGATAGATCTTGGAAACCTTTATTACTAGCTTCCATGGATGAAAGCCAATTAACTAGATGGATATGCTGTTTGGAACACCTTTACCGGTCACACCGGATTCAGAATAAGGCTTCAAAAGCTGGTATGGAACCAATCCTGCACCACTTCGGTTCTTCAAATTGTAATCAGTGTTCCTCGAGTCTATAACGCCTTCAAGTTTCTCCAACTTCCCGCGGAACTCTTCAAATGCGGTCTTTATAGTCGAATCTGCCGCCCATGCCGGCTCTAGTTGTGCACCGATATACTCCTCTTCAGGTGAGTGACTTGATAAAACATCTAGAACTGACATAACTTGAGTTGCTTGAATTTGGGAAGGGAAACTTTTCAATAAAAAATCTTCGGGCCTCTTTAGGAATGTTTGCCATTCTTCGTCTATTGGGTCTTCATTAGGCATTTTGGTTCTGGCAATGGTTGGCCTGTTGGGGAAATAACCAGCAAAGTCATATTGTCCAAAGTTAACAGCTGAATGGTGACCAGAAGTTACCCACATGATAGTTGACACAATTCCAATCAAGTCTTCTTGGGTTTTAAGTTGTGGCCACCACGGTTCATCCTTCTTATCTCCATGTCCAACATTGCGAATTTCTTCCCACCATGCTTTAAGTTCTACGTCGGATTCTACCAAATTAGCTTGTGGGTAGTAGTGGTTCACATAGGATGTAGCCCATTCTTTAATGGCATCCCAAAGAAGTAGACCATCATTGGCATAAGGGTAATCCTCGATTATTAGTTTCAAGCCATGTGGTGCGGTTGGATCTTCGATAGCCATGCCCCTAAAATAAAGAGATACAATGCAAAAGTATTACTTCCATTTTCTTCACTATTGTTATTGTTCATTCAGGGTAACACTCCAAGCTTGCTAAAAAGGGTTACCTGCTAATTAGGTCATTTGGAAGTGCTTCATGATCAAAGCGCCAAAGCTGATCATAGGCATCAGAGCAAAGTTGCATACAATATTTTCTAGGAGAGAATGATGACTCTATAATACCTTCGGCATTAATGAGAGCCAGTCGAGCAAGAGCATTGATTTGCATCGTGTATCGGTAATGTGGGAGGAGTAATCGTCGAATAGGATGCATTTGGCTAAGATTGCGGTTGGTAGCAATTATGTAAGGCTCAGTACAACAATGAGTTCTCAACCTGCAAGGTCAAAAAACATCGAGTCAAATGATTAACCAACTATGATCAGATTGTTTTCCAAGCATCTGAGTCTCTTATGACACATTGATTCACATTTCCAATTCACAAACATGAAAAGTGTTAAAAGAAAAAGAGAACGAACCAATGGCTAACAAGCTGGTGAATGCCAGAATCATGAGCAAGGACATGAGCCTTAGCTAGCTTCCAAAGCCATGCACCAGTGGCATCCCAACAGGGCGTGTACACATGCTTCCACTGTGGTTTCCCGTCAACTGGTGGGCGAGTCAACTCTATGGCTAGTGGCCGCAATGTTCCAGTTGGAGTAAGGAACATTAAAGTCCTTGAACCATAGAGAGTTGTCCCATTAAGCTCTCTCGTTTTGTTTACATATGGCAAGAGTATATCATGGTAATCCAACAAGAACAATCTYTTTTGTGCTAAAGCCTGCAAGTATATGTTTGTTTTTTCACCATTAWTTAAAGTTCATAATCATAAGGGACCAAAATGAAAAAGACATCAGGTTTACAYAAAGTAATCGTATATTTGTTTTGCAGTACCTCTTCAAGAGTCATGAACCCTTTTATCTCTTGTTCAACAATCTCCTTGGTGATACCAGATTCGGCTGGTCCATAAACTTCAGGATCCAATTTACTCATCAATGGCCATTCCTAGATATACACACATGTTATAATATTACATTAGCTTCATACTCACTTCCTTAATGTAACAAAAAGTTAAATAATCATACAATTTCTAACAAAAACTTACTGTAACCAACTGTATGCTAATTGGATTGAGGCCAGCAAGCGTTTGTCGACAAAATTCCTCATCACGAAACCAGGAGAATGTGTCCCCTACAATTAGAGCAATCAATATGCAAAATCTTCAACTAACAAAGCAAACATGAACACACAGGTGATGTAAAAGGATTCATGCTTACTGTCAATGGTTTCAGGGGTCTCAAACTTGATAACAGTGTTTGTAGAATCTGTAGCACCTTTGATAAGTCTAGGTAAAACACTTAGAAGTCCATTGTCAGGGGGAGGTACGTTGACACCTTCGTTGAAAAGCAAATCTATAGAAGTGAACAAGGGAAATCCCTTTTCTTTGTCTGTCAAAGCTGAGTCTAAAATAGGTAGGACAGCATGAAGCACCGAGTACAAAGTCCTCGCTCCAAAGGTCACCGTCTTTATCTCTGAGAAATCTTCATCGGCAGGTATGTAAAACGGGAGCAACGTTCTGGTCTCAGTCAATGGATCTGCAATTCAACATAATTTGCTTATTTTTTAGTCATTTCCACGTTTGATCAACAAAACCTTAGAATCTAATTTTGATACTTGTTTCTATCATATCACCGATACAAATTATATTAAGTTTTTTCCTCAAACAAATCATTCAATTGATCTTTCAACATTTTGAAGAACATATACATCTTACTTTTGAACTTGTTCATTTCGTGTTTTTTTTTTAATTGGACTGCAATCATTCTAAAATAGAAAGTAAGGGGTGGTTTTTGTGTTGTACCTTTAGATGACATTTTCCGACCAGTACGACATCGCCTAGGGTAAGGATGTGCCTCACCACCTAGGACCGGTCTTGCTAAACTTATGTCCAGGTCAGGAGCTCCAAGATCATTGTATAAATCATAATCGTAAATCCTCTCATACGATTTACGTTCTCCTTCGCCGTTACCTCGAAGAGAAGCCAAATCTTGCTCTCTTAAGGACTTCAGAGCAGTTGGAGTTTCTGATGGAAGGTAAGACTATACAAAACAAATTCACTAATCAGAATTCAATGTCAAAAGGCTATTGGTACCTTCCACCACCTGCTGTTGCTACAGCCGCCACCGGGTAGCGTCGACGAGCTGGAGGACGGTGGGTGTAGGGTTACCAAATCCATTCAAAATCAACGTCAGAGAAAGAAACTTTTAAGTTCCTTTTACCCCTCATAGTTACAATATGTTAAAGTTCAATCCTTTTACTTTAAAAATTGACACTTTTTCCCCTCAAAAATTGCCAAGTGTTTTCTTGATTCACAACGTATGAATCATTTTTCTTTTGTTTCATCCGACAAGACCCTTTAAAAATTGATAGAACATCATTCTATACAGACAATATTACACAAAGTTAACAATAATTTTTATACAAAAAAAAATGTTGATCTAAAATAAGATGTTTCTGAAAGAAAAATCAAATTAAAGATTTATTATTAATAGATCAAGAATAGTGACATGTGATTAAAAAAATTAAAAATAGAGTTGACCTTGTTTGTGAAGAAGATCCTCTTTTCAGGGTTATCATATTTGGAATGAACCCATGAGTCACATGAGAATATGACATCGTTGCTAAGTACAATATCCTTGAAGAACATCTTCTTGCTGTATTCATTCTCTACCAACACGGCTCCTATCTCTCCGAAATCATCAGGGACGTCAAAATTGCAATTGTATTTGTATACGCTGCTCCCAAAATCTAATGCATCGTATCTTGCATAATCCTTTACCGTCTTCAAGTTTCCTTTTGCTATATCAAATCAAGCCGAATGTTAGCAATTTCAACATTATATTACATAAACGAGAACTGATATTTTTGATAAATTAATATTCTCACTATTCATCATGCACCCCAAATAAAATAAAAATAAGTACTAATCTCTTTTACTTTCTAAAGAAGACATCTTTTTTCAGAAGTGAAGATTTTAGGGTGTCTATTATTATATTATAATTTTATTTTTCTATTTTGTTTGGACAATGCTATTTGCATCATTTTTTATATCGAATCAAGTCAATTAATGCATTGAGAATGTAAAAATTAAGTCTTGATACTAATGTATAAGATGAAGAAATTTACAGAGATACATTTAACACTATATAAAGTTACAATTAGCCCATCCATTTTTAAGACAATTTTTTGACTGTAATATTGGGTGCTTTGTCGGCAAATGTTGCAATTAAAACACGTGTTGAAATTCAGAATTTTTGGAGGTTTTTTTGGTCGGTTTGAATTTATTGTAGAAGTAAATCATGATGATTGCTTTTTCTTTTTAAAACATGATGATTATTGTAATTATATGAAATTTTGTTATATATATATATATATATATATATATATAT